ATGATCTCTTCTGCTTGAAATCCTCAGCACTTACTAAAATTTGGCAGAGATATGGCCAGGGGAGAAATGCACAAGCTGTTCTGGGGAGGAACATTTCTTTTCATCACTCCTACTTTTCTTTTGTTCCCCTGTGTTATGCACAGTACTGTAACCGTAGCGTTGTCTTTCTGCCGACTCAGGCCTGCCTGCGGTGAGGTGCTGCCCCCTGCCAGAAACTTGTGTGGCTTTACAGTGCTACCTTCTGTTTCATCCATCCCACTCATTGCTCTCACTCCCCTTTCCCACTGTCCATTCAGTACTTCCCTGTTTCCTCTTCAAATGCTCCAATGTCTTTTTCCTGTGCTTTCACAGCCCCATAGAAGCCATTTTTTTCCTTGGTCTCTTAGCAACCTGTATGGAAACCTGATTAACCTTGTGTCATTAGAGGGTTTGACTGTCTTCCAGAAGAGGTCTCTTCTCCCTGCAGCTCTGGCCTGTGTCAGCCTTGGCAGAGAAGGGCCTAGGGTACCTTTCTCTCAGATCCCAGGAGTCTGCTGTGCTCCCACACTGTCCCCTGGAGCAGTATGAACTGCAGCGTCCTACCCCTCCCCTCCCTCCCTTACCAGTTCCATGCAGCAGGGTACACAATGAGATCACCTATTGCTAGACTCTCTCTAAACAGCCAAATCCCTCAGGAGCTCTCAAGGAGCTCTGGCTGCCTGAATTCCTTTGATTTGTTATTTGACATCCCTTATTACTGCTCAGTGTCAGGCCTTGGGTCCTCATTCTCCATGTTCCAGTGCATTTTTATGCTCTTCCCTTGGCTGCTCTGCTCCATAGCCTTAATCCCTGAAAAGGAGCAAGGTGATGTGGGGAGGGAGGACCAAGAAGGTGGCATATATTCACTTCTGGTGCTCTTCTCACCCAGGTGCAGGGATGTAAAGCCTGGATTTGGTTTAGGCTTTTATCTAAGTGACTTGGAAGTCTGTGCTAGCTACAAGTGCCATAAGAGTAGGTGATGCCAGGACTGTAGGCAAAGACCCACAACAGGCAGGATTTCTTTACAAGGGTTATATTGACTTTCCCCAAAGTCCATCATACTTACACACGTGTCTATCCATTAATTCTTTTGTTATATTAACCTGACCACTAGAGATGTCAAACCTTTAACTTTCTAAATCTCCCTGAGACTTCTCCCCTTCTCCTTCTTTGATATGTTCCCCCTCAGTCTGAGATTTGCTGATAAAAAGATAGTTTAAGGCAAAAGGTGACCCCCTGATATTAGCAACTGTTTCACTTTGAATTTCCTGAGAATCAATGGGACCATCTCCTGCCCAGGCCTGCTAATTCCATACATTTTGCACAATCAGTATTTTATTTTGGACAGATCCTTTGGTTTAGTCCTCCACAAAGCAGGGTTCTGGTGTGTGAATGTCACCAGTTTGTTCCATTGTGACAAATAATTATTTTAGCTTTGCTTTGATGTGCTTCTTCCCTCTGACTGCTTATTTTATACCCTGCTCTTCACCTGCCCTCACAGCAGTATATCAAATATAAAGGGTTTGAGGAAGCTCTGACACTTCTGCTTTGTTATGGTTTTGCACTTACTGGAGGTCACACTCATTTAAATTTTCCTCATTTGGCTGCAAGGTCAGCTTGTTGAAAAATACATATTGATAATCCCTTTGGGAAATCATTTTAGTCATGTCAGCTTCATTTTGTCTGTTGTCGAATCTTCTGAAGAGGGTCTAGGTATTTGGGTGGCCAATGTGATTTCCCTGTGTAACCTTCATGTCACTTGTGATGATTCACAGCCTTCAGCTCAATTCTCTCAGCTGCCCCTCTGTGTTCAAACTGGCTTGTAAGAAGTGTGTCACTTCCCTGCAGCATCCACCACAGCTGTGGCAAATTAAAAAATGGGATTTCTTTTGGAATGTGTGGGGTCACAGCTTTAGGATGCCGGTCCTACTCTTTGCCTATAAATTTGAATTTAACTCCTCAGGTTCAGCTGGATTTTCAAAATAAGTGTAAGGCATGTGCAATGGCACAGTTTCCTCTGCTCACATGGACCTGCTTGCTAAATTGGATGCTGCTGCCTGTGGGGTGGAAGGCTTGCAGGTACCACCTTATTCAGCTTCACTGACAGGCTGGGGAGAAAGAGCTTTAGCGCCTCTGCTGCCTTCTCTTTGGGTCAGGGACAAAGGGTGGCCACGGAGCTTGCAGAGCAACCAGGAGCTGGAGCACGAGTGAGGAGGGAAAGCAGAACTGGGAGAGTCCCAGAAAGGAGCTGGGGCTTGTGAGGCACTTGGGGCCTGAGAGCATGGGAGACACTCGGCAGTGTGGGGTAGGGCTGAGCTGAAAGATCTGTAGGGAAACACAAGTATTGTGGGAGGACAAGGGAGTGAGCAGAGCACAGGAAGAGGGGGAATGGAGTTACTGAGGAAGAGCAGTGAGAATGCAAGGAAGCAAAGCACGAGTTTTGGGGGTTTTTAAGCAAGATTTTTTTTTTAAATTATTTTTTCAGCACCACAACTAACTGCAGGGTCCAGTTGTTTCTATCTCCCACTCATTTACATGCCATCAGTGTGTATGAAATTCAAAGGACAAATTTTTCAGGAATATCATGTGATTGTTGTTACACCTTGGCTCAGCACTGCGTCCCGTGGAAGTATGATTCAGGGTTGAATTTTGATAACAAGCAACAACTCTGATGGCTGACAAAGAAGAATTGAGCTGTCTACTGATGCTTAAGTGCAGTCTAATGCAATCTAATAAAAAGAGCAGCTAGAGCCTGAATTTGCATTTGAAATTCATTGGCTGTGTTTGGAGACGTGTTTCAGCGGAAAAAGTGCATGAAGCTGCTCTGTAACTTCCTTCTCTGTCTGCTGGTTGGGTTTCCTGTTTCTTCACAGTGGAAATCTTGAAACTCTGCAAGGAAGTAAGCCTTTTTCCCATGAGACTGAGTCTGCTGAGGCTTGGTTGGGTGGGGACAGGGGGAAGTATGTAGAGGATTGCTCTGAATTCTCAACAAGAATTTTGAGGGCTGAAGTAGATTTCAGCAGAGACTTAGGGAGGCTTAATTCCAGTGAGAGGGCCAAGACTGAAGACAGAGGATAGTGCTGGAAGGATGTTGGAAAGAGAAGCAGGCAGCATGCTTGCTTGAGGGACCAGGTTTCTCTCCTGTAGCTGTTCTTATTCTTGTGTGAAAGTCACCCTCTTTGCACACAATACCTAAAGGTGAAATAAAGTTAGCTCAGGACACAAGACACAAAAAGAATCCTTGGTAAAGACATCCAGTTACTGCCTCACTCTTCTTAGGGGCAGTTCTCCCTAAACTGTGTTCAGATTCCCTTTACCTTCTGCCACATTGTTCTTCTCTGTTGTCTGGTGCATGTTCTTTCTTCTACTGCCCTATCTCATCTCCAGCTCTGCTCTGGTTACCCTCTGTGCTCTCTGGATGTGCTGTGAGCATCTCATTCTGCTCTGCCTTAAGGCTAGCCAAACTAACCAGCTTCTTCCTTCTGGTTGTTTTGGAGACCTTGTTGTGGCTTTTTTCAGGCTTTTACAGGGGGCTTATAGGAAAGATGGAGAGAAACCTTTTAATGGAACTGGTAATGGTAGGATAAGGGGTCATAGATTTAAACTGAAAAAGCCAGATCTAGATTAGATATAAGGAAGAAATTCTTTACAATGAGGGTGCTGAGATGCTGGAACAGATTGCCCAGAGAAGTTGCAGATTCCCCTTAATTGAAAATGTTTAGGGCCAGGTTGGAAGGGGCTTTGAGCAGCCTGATGTAGTGAAAGATGTCCTTGCCCATGGCAGGTGGGCTGCAGAAGACAAATAGTCTTTGAAGGTCCCTTACAACACAGACCTTAGTCCTGTCTGCTGACTGAACCCTCCTCACCCTGCCTGACTTATTAGCATCTGTTCCCAGAAGTCTTTCTGATTTAGAATGTATCTCAGCTGCCATTTCCCTTGTCTCCTTTCAAGATCTGCTCCAGCTTCAAATCAGACTAAACACTGACATTTTGCTCAAGATAGTATCAGAGGTTTTCACCAGAAAGCAGTTAAAGGAGATAAATGACAGTGTTGGAAAAGTGGCAGAAAAATGTAAGCCATCCCTTTTCAGCCTCTGAAATGGAGCCTGAAGCAAGCACTGCTCTGAACTTCCACAGGCTATGAATCTGGTTTTAATAGAAAAGTTTTTGTGTGTACTCTTGTCAATAATCTCTCACACCATCAACATATGCTTTTTAAAATTCCACTTTGCTTGTTCTCCTCTCTGACTCCAGCCTGATCCTTCTGTTTCTTCATGGATATATCAACCTTCTGATTATTTTTATTGCTCTAAGGCTGCAGCTCCCCAGTCTCACTTCTACAGGAACATTTCCTAGTCTGAGATTTGTTCTAGTGCTAACTTCCAGCTGGGGCTGACTTTGAAGAGTGAGACATAGCTGTGACGTTTGATGTAGCAAACACAGCTTAACCACAAGGGGCAAATTGGGCAGAATGCATTTTGTTCTGGACTGCAGGTTAAACTGGGCTAGGACCTGTGATAGCTGCAAATGTGAGAGCAATGTTAGAATTACTAACAGACAAAGAAACGCTTGAAAATATGGGGTAATAGTTAAGTAAGAAAATTAAAAAGAGGAAAAAAACCTATAAATGTCTTGAAAAGGAAGCCAATCAGCTGAGAATCTGATATGGGGAAGGAGTGCAACTTCCTTTTCAGTTGTTAGGTTCTCATTTTTCTTTTATGTCTCAAAATCTTCCATGGTGCCAGGGCTGATTTCCTGGGCCAAGAAACTGAAGATCTCTTTGGAACATTTCTGAGCTCCCAGGAATTCTCAGGTTATCACCAGTGCTTCCAGTGTTCAGCACAGCCTTCTTTGATGGGTAGAGGGTGAATGAATGTATGGGGAAGGCTCAGTAACCTATTCCTGTCACCCTCTGGAAACAAGGAGCTAAAAGACCCACCTTTTACGTGGCAACACTAAGGACAGGGTCACACTGTGATTAAATGGCATCAGAAATCACCTATGCTGAGGTGAAGTTCAAAAATGAATCGCCAGCTCCAGTGGTCAAAGGTAAGGAATGAATGGGTTATTTGGGAGAAAGGGAGCAGGGTGAAGAAGAGGGAATGAAGATTTTTCCTTCTGTGACTTTGGTTCCTACCTGATCTTGATGGATTGGTGAGAAAAAGGAGCTAAATGATCAGGAGACTGGAGAAGTTTTGAAATAAGAGTCTTGAGGAACGTCTCTAAGAGAAAAGGCAAATGGGAGTTGCAACATGAACAAAAATGACTACTGGGAGCACAAACAGTAGGTTTCAAATGAGCGTTCATTAAGGAACCTGTTTGTGCTCCCTCAGTACCCTACATGTTATGTAGTCTTGAAAGAGTCAAATTTGGACCATGCTGAGTGCCAACAGTAGAGACTGTGGTTTATGACAAACAATCAGATCTGTCACAAAGGTGGAGGGGCTCCCAAAGCAGCAAATAAGCCCAAGTCCTGGCTGCTCTTGCCTGTGAGTGAGACTACAGATTGCTGCTTGTGGAGAGGGTAGGAGAGTCAACATGCCTGCTTATAGTAGAGCAGTCAGTTGTACTCTGCAGCTTCATGAGAAGTGGTACTGCTGCAGAAACATAGCCCCATTGTCCATGGCTGATTGAGAAATGGTCCTTGGAGAAGAGACCCAAAACTTAAACGCTCTGAAATATACAGAAGAAGAATTATTTAAAATCTGGAGGGAGATCCAAATCTGTTATTGATGTCTGCCACTCCTGAAAAACATTTCACACACCAAACAAAATTTTTTTTTTCCTATTAAAAGCTACAGTGGTAAAATTGTTATTTTACTAGACTTCATGCAAATTTAAGGCATATTCTGGTTAATATCTACTCTGTAGTCATTGTTCCACAAGTAGAAACCCATAGAGATGTTCTGTATAAGTCTCACTGCTTCTGTCTGACATGTAGGACTCTACACAACAGCAGGTCCTAGGGCAGAAAATGTATGTGTGCATAAATCAATGAACAATATTTTTTAAAAATTAAATAAATAATTACTGCTGCCTAAGGATATATAATAGCTTGCCTATTTACAGCTTTATCTCCGTTTTACAATCCCAGACAGAGCAGGCATCAGCTCCAGGTTATTCCTTGCTTGCTCTGAGACATGAGTCATGGAAATAAATAGTGTACATAGTCCTGTCTGTCTTGAAAGCTCACTGTTTTCAATGCACCAAGATTAGTTGTTTCTGGATGTAGTTAGCATTTCCACTGTGGTGAGGTGGGGGTGGTGGAAGTTCCCCATGGTGTTCCAAATTATTATTCCAAAGACATCAAGTCTGTTGTATGTGATCATGCTAGACATGTTACAGAGCACAGACCAGCTGTGGAAAGCATTTTGCAGGGAGTTCAACCCCCCGAGTGTGCACAAGATTACTGCACTTCACTTGTGTTGCTGAGGTGCACAGCATGCAGTGCTGCCTGTGCCACCTGGGTGTGAGTGTGGGATGCTCAGGTCTGACTGGGCACAGGTTGAACAATGTCTGGATGTGCTGCATATAAAAAAAATCAGTTGGACTGGTTAGAGCTATTTCTGAAGTGAGTGCTTTGACTTTAGATCTTGAGGGGGCTCCTTGTTTTCACTAAGGCAAAAGAAAGAAAAATGTTATTAGAAAAACATTATTTGACCAGGAAAACCTGGACCTGGTCTGTCCACATGTTTTCTCTCCAGATAATGAAAAATTATGCTTTTTTCCCTGCTGTAGCAGTCTCTCCCAAGCCTTTGGGAAGTAGTCAGAAGGCATCCACAAAGAGCAGGTTTCTTACAGTCTTGCTTACTAGGCATGTCTGGCAGGCACACTTGACCGACCTGGGAGCTTCATGCTCAAACCACGACAACAATGAATGAAGGCTCTCTAAATCTTCTCTTTAATAGTAGTCTCTCCCAAAGCTTCTTTACTCCCGTCCTGCTGTCTCTTTCCCCTCCTATTTATCCTGGCTTGTGTACCTGCCACAAGCTAGAACAATCCCCTACTGTGTGTTTGCTTCTCCTTCCCTGTGACCCACTCTCCTGCCTGCTCCCCAACCTCCTCAGTACTGGCAATATCCCTCTAGATAAAAGTGAGGTCCTGGCAAATCTTAATCTGAGTACTTTACTCAGGCTGCTGGGCACAGCCCTCTGTTCTCCCCAAACATCCAGCCTAGCACGACCTAGTTTTATTACAGCAAATCTTTGAATCCTGCCTTGGAAAGCAGGGATGGAAGGAAAAGTATATCTTTCAGTCTTCCAATGATGATGTGCCATCATAGCCTTGCACATTTTTTGTCTCCCATCCTCTTTCAGATTACTTCTGCACAGAGAGTTCAAAAAGCTAATGAAACTGAAGGAGGCAGAAAAAATTTTCTGGGAAGAAGTCAACATGAAATCTTCCCTTATGTCTTAAGTATCATGGTTTGAGCAATATTGCATTTAGCAGCTTTGGACTCAATCTAGAAATACATTGTTTCACTGTAATTTTTGAGGCACTCACCCCCAAACACCAACAATTATCATTGTTGGCTGACTGGCTGGGCTGGGAACACACTCACTGAATTGGACTTTTCTCCAAAACCCACAGACATTCCCTGCTCTGTCCCAGTCTGTCATTCTCCTAAACCTTGTATTTTCCACATCAGAAATCTTTTTTTCTTTTGAGGAGCTGTCCCTTGAGTAGTACATCCTTGGTATGTGGACTGTGGACTGACAGACCCACAGTTGACTGTAGTGTTTTGTTTGGTGTGTTTCTGTCACTTTTAGGACCTCCTGAGACAAAGAAGCCGGAGCAACATCCCCAGAAATACCCACTGTGGCTGCCATGGTTGATCTCACTGCTGCTTCTCTTGGTGTGCATTGCCCTTGTTGTTGTCCTCCTTGGTAAGTATGTGCAAGGAGATTACAAGGGACAAGTCTGGGGGGAGTGCTGGGAGAAAAGTTAGAGAAACCATGCTTCATGGTTGTCTGGGCTTTGTGTAAGGTCTCAAGTTTTCCTGCCCTCACTTTGTTTATGTCTGCATACATCGTCCAAATCCTCCACTGTTTACCCCAGATTGCACATTCCAATCTTGCATGGCCTTTTTGGAACTGTGGAGCAATTCTCTACCTTCATTCCCCACAAAAATAACTCAGTTATGTTTGACAGATGGGAAAAAGTGGAGACAGAAGCACAAGTGTCTATACAGGCAGCTGAATCTGTACTTAGGCTCTCTAACATATTTGGATATGCTTTGTGTCCTAGTGGAAAAAATGGCTTCTCACAGTCCTGGCATCTCCAGGATTAACTGCATAGTGCAGTTAATTAACTTTCACAACTTTTAAGGGTTGATTGCAGAGTAGTTCATTAGAGGTTATTCCTGGACATGCTGTTTGTAAAGATTGTCATCACTGTTTCATTCTCACTTTCTATTAAAGATATTTCATGGCATGCTTGCACAAGTTCTTAATACCCGCGATGGATTCTGGAAGAGGCATCTTATTACGATAAATCACTGCCTTTCCTTGTACTGCCCTTAGCATCTGAGTCCCAGATGTTTGTATTGCTTTGTTCCCAAATGTATAACCTTTCATGGTACTCAGCCAAAAGGTTGGGGAGTTTTAGCCTGGGATGTTAGCATCTGATACCTTCTGATACACATGGAAGGTTTAATTTTTAGTGAAATTTTACTTATGCAAGTTAATTGATGCTACACAGGATTTTGGTTTAGCATAGTGATACAGCATTTAAATGAAAAACCAGTACAAATTACATGTAGCAGAGTGGCCACTGCAATGTACAGGTGGATCACAATACAAACAGGATTTTAATTGCTGGTCATACAAGCATGGAATCATAGAATCATTAATGTTGGAAAAGACAGCTCAGGTCATGTAGTTAAACTGCTAACCAACCCCTTCCAAGCCCACCACTAATCCATGTCTCCAAGGGTCACATCTACTTTTCTTTTGAGCACTACTGGGAATGGTGACTCCAATGCTTCTCTGGGCAGCCTGCTCCAATGCTTGGCCACCTTTCGGTGAAGAAGCTTTTACTAATATCCAATCTAAATCTTTCCTGGCACAACTTCAGACCATTTCCTCTTGTCCTGTTGGTTGTTACCTGGGAGAAGAGGCTGACCCCCACCTGGCTACAAACTCCTTTCAGGGAATTGTTGAGAGCGATAAGGTCACCTGTGAGCAACCTTCTCTTAGGGAAAAACACCATCAGCTCCTTTAGCTGCTCTTCATAGGACTTGTGCTTCAGACTCATCCTGAGCTCCACTGCTCTTCTCTAGAGATGCTCCAACTCTTGAATATATTTCTCGTTATGAGGGACCCAAACAGGATATATTTCTGCAGTATGTTCCACATCAAGACATTGAATGGCCTCAAATGCCAAGACAAAATAGGGGAGTTAAAGTCAGCTCAGACCCATTACTTTCTTCAGGTATGTTTTTGTTAGTCATTCAATTTCTTATGCCATTTGGACTAAGGTACCCACTCGTCCTGTGCTGGCTTGGCTAACTGAGGAAGACACTGCCTTCTTTTGATCTCTGAGGAAATGAATACTTTCACAGCTGCTAAATTCCCACAGCTGAACAAAACTAAAAGCCAAATTTCTTATTATCCTTTATATTTGTGTAGGGATAAGGTCACCCTTACTGGCAATGGAGGTGCTCAACCAGGCATTGCCCATCTCCTCTGAGCCTTCCTCCATTACAGCAATTCGCTCATCAGGCACTGGAGCCACCAGGATTCTTCTGCTCATCAGTGACAATAGTTCTAAATTGAAAGATCAATGAAAATAGGCATCTGGATTGTTGAGCACACACTGATCAGCTCCTAATCCATACTCCTGATGAGTGTCTGAGTTCCTAGGAAGTCCTTGGGATTGTGGCTGTGGCCTGTCACCAAGAGTGCATTATTCCCCACAAAGTGGAGCCAGTAAGTCCTCGGGGTTTATGGTGCTGCACCCTGGTTTCAGGAGCTGCAGCTGTAAGTGATTCCCTTCACCTGCACTGGGTGTTGCTGATGGAACAGGCCCAGCTGAGGGTGGCTCCCCCAGGGGCCTGTTGCTGTGTAGCTAAGGAAGAGACAGAGGGTGACAAGGAGAGGCTGCTTTGTAGACTGGCAGCTGGGCTGGGGGTGTGTGCATGGCACAGTGGCTGTGGCTGGGAGGGCTCCCTCCTGCCGTGTGTGTGGCATGTCCCCAGAGGGATGTGCTTCCAGGGGTCCCTCTGCTGTCTCACTTGGAAGGCACAGGGCTCTTTCTGGCTGGGAAGGAGCTGTGCCACTGGTGGGGCCAGGAGAGGTGACAGCTGGGAGCATGCTTGCTGGGGAAATGGTGGAAGGAGAGTGCAGGGCTAATCCTGCTGCCTTTCCTGTCCCTTTGCAGTGGTTCCCTTCTGCCACAGCAGTGACCAGCCCTCAGCCCTGCAGCAGCAATTCTCGGAGTGGGAGTGCGGCTCAGCGGTGCCACAAGGCCCAGGTCAGTATCCCAATGTCCCCTCTTCCTTGGGGCCAAGGGCCTCAAGGGGCTGTGCCAGGGCAGGCCAAAGCACATCCCCAAAGGAACTTTGGAGAGCCTTGAGATGCCCTTACAAGGATTGCCCCGGCTTTGGGTACACAAGGCTCACTGCTCATACCCCAAAGCAATGGGAAGGAATGTCTGTACTATCCCTGTTTTTTCAAGCACTTTCTGTCAGGAAAAGTCACTGAGCAGGACATGAGCACTGTCCCTGGAAAACCTGGATGTCTGCAATCACCATCTCTTGTTAGTAGCCTGCATCTGTCTGTCCTCTCCCTGCACAGACCGAGGCTGGATGTGCTGCCCAAAGGGCTGGAGAAGGTTTCAAGGAAGCTGCTATTTCCTGTCCACTGATACGATGGACTGTGCTGAGAGTGCAGAGAACTGCACTGGGATGGGCTCCCAGCTGGTGGTGATCACCAGCCAGGCAGAGCAGGTGAGTGCACAGGGCCCCAGAGAGAGGGACCCAGCAGGCAGAGCCACAGTGCTGGGCCCTGGAGGGGACTCAGAGCCCCTCCTTGTCCTGCTGGGGAGGGGCAAGGTCCTGTCTGCACCTCTGCAGCACCAGCCCCCTCTGCAGCACCAGCCCCACATCATGGGGATTCCTGATGCCTCTCTGTGCTCAGTCCTGCAACACATGGACATTGCACTGTCTCTGATTTCCAGGAATTCCTCACTGAGCAGAAAAATCAAGATGTGCAAAGAATGAATTTATACATTGGTCTGTTTGAGGTTGATGTCGACCAGTGGCAGTGGGTGGACAAGACTCCCTACAATGTGAACGCAACGTGAGTATCTCTGGATGAAGAGTGTTTGGTGTGACTCCTGGTAGGGAAAGAAAGTAGGAGACATCTGAGAGGTTCAGGTACTGCATGAGAGGGAGTTGTCACCCCACTGTCTTGCCAGAGAGTAAAGATGCAGAAGGACAGAACTTTGTAGTACAGCTGGTTCACACGTCCCCATCTGTGCTGGGTATTGGTTATGAATTAACTACCTATGACATGGAAATCATTGCTGTCAGCCTAGAAAAAGCTGCATCTTGCCATCAGCAAGAACCCTGAAGAGCTGACAGGTTTTGGCTGGCCTACACAGCACTTATGTGAGCAAAATGGCTGTGCTGAAATTCAAGGAAAGAGATGGGACAAAGGGAGAGAGCACCAGGACTGTCCTTGCTGTGCCTTCTTCTGGAGAACAAACTTTCCCTGGAGTCCAGCACGGGCCTCTGCTGTGTGTGGGGTGCATGGGGTGAGTGGTGGTGAGCAGTTGCCCCCAGCAGGGTGGAGCAGGGAGGCTCTGTTGTGCTGGAAGGCTGTAGGAAGGAGGCAGGTTTCCATGTGCCACTGGAGCCCATGGGATATGGAGTGGGAGGAAGGGCACTGCTTCAGTCCATGGATCAGCATTGGGAATTTGTATCTCTTGCCTGTATCTCTCCCACTGGGGCCTTTTCCTGCAGGGCTTTACAGTGGGCACTGGGGAGTAACAAGCCTGTCTGTGTCCCAGGTTCTGGAAAAGCAACGAACCAAGTAACGGCCATACTGAGAACTGCACTGTAATGCATGTGCCTGAACAGACCCTCAACAACTGGAATGATGTCCTACCAACTACGAAGCATCATCGAATTTGTGAAGCTGCAGCAGTAATTGTGTGATGGAAATCCCCCTGTCCTGAGTAAAGCTGGGAGCTCAGCAGGGAGCTGGAACAGCTCTGGCTGTGCTGGCAAGGGTGGGGAGCTCTGACACATCTTCACTGTGTGGGGTGGGACCACGTGTGTGGAAGTGAAATGAGCTTTGTCCAGCATCCCCAGTGCCTGTGGTGGCTCAGGGAACACAGGGATGCTCAGGCTCTTTGCAGCATCTCCTGTGTTCTTGTGTCCTCTTCTGTCTGAGTGAAAAGAGATGGAGTTCTCCAGGAGGAAAGCACAGGAATGGAAGAGAGATATCCCGAGATTCCATGTCCTCTGTCTCCTTGAGCAGAGCTGTTTGCTTTTTGTTGAGTCCCACACAAAATGTCCTCTAGCTGTACTGGTTTCCTGAACAAATTCTGAAATCTTAGAAAGAGAAAATAGAACATCACACCAATGAAGAAATTCTCTGTACCCTGTCTCTGTATCTGTTTTTTCCTCCATATCTAAGCGGGAGAGGTAAAGTCCTAGAATCACGGAATGGTTTGGGTTGTATGGAACATTTAGGGATCAAGTTTTAAACCTCTGAGTCTTGAGCAGGGACTCCTTCCACTAGACCAAGTTTCTCAAAGCCCCATGCAGCCTGGCCTTGAACACTTCCAGAGCTGGGCTATGCACAGCTTCTCTGGGAAAAATGTGCCAGTCCCATACAGAACCCATACAGAAAAGAATTTCTTCCTAATACCTACTCCAAACCTGCCCTCTTTCACTTTAAAGCCATTTCCCTTTGCCTTATCTTGCCCTTGTCACAAGTCTCTCTCCAGCCCTCCTAGAATCCTTCTGGAAGACTGCTATAAGACCATCATGGAATCTCCTCTTTGCCATGCTGAACAATCCCTATTCTTTTAGCTTGTGCCCCAACCCTCTGTCTCTGACGTCATTGCCTTTGGACTTGTTGCCATGGGAGAAACAATTCACCCTGTGCCTTCAGATCCACCTGGAGGAAAAAGTCCTCTGCCTGACTCAGGGCTGATCCCAGGCTCACCTGAGGCAGCAGCAGTCCTGGAAAGCCAAATCCTCAGTGGTGCCAGGAATGGCATGCCTGCCCAGGCCAGTCCATGCTGCAGAGGAGGCTGACGGGACAGGGCTCCTGCTGCACATGACATCCCATCCAGAACATCAGTGCCTGTTGCATTGCCTTCATGTCCTGCTGTCAACCTTTGGACACCATGGATCTTCCTTTGCTCCGTCTCTTCCCACTTCCTGCCTCCTGTGTCCTCACTTCTCTTTCCTCAGGAAGCCCCAAGGGCCCAAACTGCCCTGAGGGAACAGGGAATGCAATGGGGTGTTCAGCTCCTGTCTGTGTGCCTCTGTCCTACCTATGGATGTGAATCCCCCCTCTGTGTCCCAGGGAGAGAGGTAAATTTGTTCTGGAGGCAAGGTGCCCAGGAGATTTGGCTTCCTAATCCAGTGGGAGCAGTTGTATGAACAGCAGTGCAGGTGCTGCAGGTGGCTGCAGGTCCACATGTACAGCTCGAGGCAGCAGTGAGACACAGTGTGGAGGGACAGTAGGTCCTACATATCTAGGGGCATGTGGAAGAAAGAGGACATATACATGCAAAATACCGCACAAATCAGCACAGGCAGTAAGCACTGATCCCAACTCAAAGAGCTGCCTGTTCCTGTTCCTCTCCCTGACTGCAGCAGGATGAAATCCTTCAGAGAAAATGTCTGTTTACAGCTGTACAATGAGGCCCTGCTGGTGAGGGCCACTCCTTCTACACCTGGAAAGCACAGCCTGCAGTGGCACAGCTTCTCCCAGCACCTGCCTGGGCTGCTGGGCTTGCCACTGGCTGGAAAGGGCTGCTTTGTCTGGAGTCTTGAGCACCATTCCCACACGTTTCTGGCTTTTGCCATGCAGGATCCCCTTTAGGCCTCCCCTCTGCCATAACTCTTAGCGCACAAGCAGGACAAGGAGCACATTTCCTGTCTGCCCTCCTCCACACAAGAGCCAGCCCTGCACAGAAGGCTTAGGCCTGCTGTGGTGCAGCCAGTGAAGGTGCACAGGCCCTGAAGGACAGAGCTGACCAGCAGGTTCCTCTGCTGGCTGTCCACTCCTGGGCTCAGCCTGTGGTGAGCAGCAGCCCCTGCTGGGTCTGGACACGGCCCCCTCCCCTTGGCTGTAGGAAGAAGGCAGGATTCCATGCAGGACTGCTTCCCATAGGAGAAGGGCAGGAGGAGAACAAGGGTGATTCATCCTGGGAGTTTGGGATGAATCAGGATCTGGAAGAGTCTGTCTCCATGTCCCTCTGAGCCCTGAGAGCCCAGGTCCTGGAGCTCATCCTTCCATGCAAGGACTGACAACATCCTGAATCCCAATGTGTCAGAATCACTGCAGACAAAGTGGACCTCAGCCTCTACTTGCCCAACAGCTCAGCCTCATTGGTGAGAGAGAGGTCCAACAGAGTCCATCTTGTTTTTGGGTCCTCCATAACCTGTCTCCTGTCTCAGAAAAATCCATGGTAATGATCCTCCAGTTTCCTCCTGGATTGAATTCATCTTTCCTGCTGCAAACAAAGCTCAGAAACTTCAGCACAAGTTGCAGAGCCTGACAGCTGCCTCTGTGAGCTGCCCTCACCCACTGCTGGGGCTCAGGGCTGTAGGGCTGGATTTCAGGCTTTGAGAGGGGAAAGCAACCAGGCACAGTGGGAGCAACTTTCTCTGGGATTGATTCTCTCTTCCTGTCTGTGCTGCTAGCACTTGCCCTGTGCTTTCTGCCTTTCTCTTTGTTAGTATTTCCTTCCAGGTTCCTTGCCCTTATGTCATTGTTGCAGATAAATCTTTGCCTTCAAATTATTTGGAATTCCAGATAAGTGGATAGCAGGAGTGCTCAGGGGATTCAGGTTGATGGAGAAATGGCAATCAACCACTGAGAAAGAGAGAATGTCCTCCACCCAGTTCATTTCTGAACAGGAGCACACTTGGTGTTCTTTGGACTTGGAACCCTCTCCAGCCTTACCCATCCCACTTCCTGTTGGTCAGATGGCCTGGACAGCAGCAAGTGACAGAAATGGGAGTGTGAATGCAGACAGCTGTGGGAGTTCAAAAGCTGCAGCTATGTCAGGGGCTTTTGACCCAAACCACTGCTGTTACAGGAGAACATGACTACCAGCTTAATGGTAAAAATCAGTCATCAGCAGAGACTTCTGGTGGTACCAGGGAACTGGAGAAGTGCTGTGCTGCAAATATCCTCCCTTACCTTTCCTGGTTTCCCGGTCCTCTCCAGCTTCTCAGTGCAAATGAGTATCTCATGCAGAGCTATCTCCTTCTCTGATGCCACTTGAATTTGTGTCCCTTGGTGTCCTGTGGTGGGAACACGACCATTGTGCTCTTCAGGGCCTCTTTGGGTCTGAGAAGCTTCTGCCCTCTTCCAGTGGCCTGGGACAGCAGCAAGTGACAGAAATGTGAGTGTGAATGCAGACACCTGTGGGAGGTCAATAGCTGCACCTATGTGAGGGGGCTTTTGACCGAACCACAGCTATTACAGGAGAACATGACCACCAGCTTAACAGTAACCAGGGCATTAGGGAAAGGCATCTGAGACACAGAAGAAACAGTCTGAAAATAAAGTTTAGATGAAGCAAGAACATGGTAAGAGAAAGAAAAGGGAGAAGTGGGAAGGAAGTGGCAATGGAGCCCAGGGTGCTCTGCAGCTTGGCCACCTCTGTGTGCAAGAAGCTCCCTGGCAGCTCAGTGCTGTGGGTGACCTCACTGATGGCACTGAGGGCAGCAGCAGGCACACACCCACAGTTCTGCAGTGTGACAGTGTGACCCTGTGCTTTCACCTGTGCTTCACAGGCTGCTGGGAGAGCTGTGGATACTCAGGAACCCCACATTTCCAGCAGGAAGTGTGTGGGACCAGGGGAAGCCCTGCTCCCACAAAGGGGATGTGTGCTTGCAGCTGCCCTTCCTGCATGGCTGGTGGGAGGCTGGAGGTTCCACAAGTCTTGTGAATGTGTTTTTCTGTGGGGTGAGAGCTTGTGCACACTGCTTACATAGAGATGTTTAGAAATGTAGGCTGTGACCCTGCCTGCAGCCTGTTGTGCACAAAATAACAGAATCAGGGGATGTCTTCTACAGAGAGCTCAGGCTTGTCCTCCCTTGTAAGCAGTTCTGTACCCTGATCTTGTGATGCCTCAGCTGAAATGCCTGTGCTGCTGCTGTGAGCTCTCCTATTCCTGTGTCTCTGCCCCCATGCATTCCTCTCCACAGGGAGAAACCAGCTGATGGAACATCTCAGCCTGTTCCACGTATGTCTGCAGCATTTGCAGTCACAACCAAGTGAGACTTCATGATCTGTCATGCACATGGACTCTGGCACTGCCAAGTGATCCTTCTGCCCCACAGTGCCAGGTCATGCTGAACCCCTTTGCTCAAAGCCCAGCTCCCTTCCAATGCAATGAGACCAAAACAGTGTCACAAGTTCTCTGTTGTGCTCAGGTTTTCTGGGCTCAGGATGCCAATGGTCACTGCCCAGATTCAGTCACAGATCTCCTTTCCTCTTATTTTTGGTTCCCTTTTGGAGGCTGTGCTCAGTGGGTTTAACCCTTTGCTAGCCAATGCCAAACACACCTGCCCATGTATGTACTGTCACACACATGGAGCCTCAGCAGGAGAGAGCAGGCAGCAGAGAGGGAAGGCCATGGATGATCTGTGCAAGTGCCTGAGGCTGGGCAAAGGGAGATTGTGTGAGCTGCAGTGATGCTGTCCTTCATCTGCTTTCCTTTGTCTTGGTGACTTGGTGTTTTGCAATGACCATCTTGTGAAATGTCCTGGCAGGGTAATGATGAAAGTTCCCTCATCTCCTGTGCTGTGGGTACACCCAGGATATGGCTTTTTCAGCACATCAGATTAGAGCCTGTGCAGGCCCCTCACCAGAGTGGGAGGTGCCCTGTGCAGGAGGAAGGCTGTTTGTGCCCACACTGGTAACAGGGACCCTTGGAGAAGAGTGATCCTCCTGCAGAGATGATGAATGGCCAAGGGAGAGTCAGTCTTGGAAATGCAGGTAACCCCAAAACCTTCCTTGCTTTTTGTCCTCCTGCCACAGGGGTTGGGGAAAGGCAGGGCTGGGATGGATCCTGGGCATGGTGCAGTGGGCAGCAGGAGATGGGGCTCAGGGCAAGAGCAAAGCAAGAGATGAGGGCAGTGGGCAGTGGGCACGCTGGCAGAATGAGCTTTTCCTAGAGCCAGGGGGAATGGAAGTGCAGGCAGAGCGTGCCCTGCTATTCCCTTCAGTGCTGTGTCTGTAAACAATGGGGCTGAAGGGGGCTGTCCTTCTGTCATTGCCCTGCTAAAGCTCTCTGCATCTCTCTGAGCACAAGTCCCTGCTCCCATCTCTGCTGTCTCCAAGGACACCCCAGCCAGGGCTCCCCAAGAGCTCCCAAGTGCCTTTTCCCTGGAAACAATCGCTCTGTGGGTCTGGCTGTGCACACCCTAAGCTGGGCACTCACTGCTTTGGGCGACTGTGCCACTGCAGAAAGGGGCTCATGGGACAGAGGCACAATGCAGGGAGTGAGGGAAAGAAGCTCTAAAGAGAGAGGAAGAGGAGGGAGATCCACAAAGAGCATTCAGGGACAACAGGGTAATGGAAGACAACATGGAAGATGTGTTGAGGAGAAAGGTGGTCTGAGAGGACAAAGGGGGAGTGAGGGTTGGGCAGAATCCAGGCAGGTCTTGTGATAAACAGGGAAATAGAAAAGCAGCCTCAGGGCAGCTCCTGTGCTCCTGTACTCTGTGGCTCTGAGCCACTGCTAGGGACAGGCAGCAGGACCTGCTTGCAGCACCTGAGGGGCTCCCCAGTGCTTGGAAGAAGGGAGCAGCAGGGTGCTGGGGAACAGAGCCCCCTGGGTTATCCTGCTCCTAACTCTGGGCTGGGACACGCTCACTCTTGCTTTGTGTTTTCCAGCCCCAGCAGAAGAGAGAGGCTGCTCCTGGCTGAACATCTGGGTCTTCCTTATTTTTGCCCTTGCAATCAAAGCTGCCATTGGGACCTTGTGCCTCTGGCTTGGTGAGTTCCAGGGTGTCTTAATTCCCTTGGGATGAAGGGCTCAGGTGGCTGCCCTTGGTCAGGTGGGAAACCCACATCCTAGTGCCTCTGCCAGCAGGGCAACACCATTCACCAAAACACAGGTAAGAGACCCCTTCTCATGCAGAATCAACATTTGTGGGAACACATCTGTAGCTCTTAATCCACCCTTTGAATCTCAAGGAATAAGTAAGATCTCTTGGATAAGCTGGCTGTGTAAGGAACTGCCTGTGGTGGCAGCAAGGCCGTCAGAGCAGGTTCCTCTCAGTCTCTCTCAGTCTGCATGAGCTGAGAGCTTGGTCAGCTCTTCTCTGAAGGGAGAGTTTCCAGAGCCAATGAGTTCCCATCCTGCTTCCCCAGGAATGCTAAGGCAGTAGCAGTGTCTCCCAGCCAGCAGAGGTTTCATGGCTGTCTGAGGAAGACACTGATCCTTTTTGATCCCTGCAGGGATGAACCGCTCCACAGCAGGTCAGATCCCTCAGCTGAACTAAACCACAAGTCATTTCTCTTCTCATCCTTTATCATTGGGTACGGACAAGGTCACCTTTATTGGCAATTGGGCCGCTCAGCCAGGCATTGCCCATCTCCTCTGAGCCTTCCTCCATTACAGCCATTCACTCATCAGGCACTGGAGCCACTGGGATTCTTCTGCTCATCAGTGACAATAGTTCTAAATTGAAAGATCAATGAAAATAGGCATCTGGATTGTTGAGCACACACTGATCAGCTCCTAATCCATACTCCTGATGAGTGTCTGAGTTCCTAGGAAGTCCTTGGGATTGTGGCTGTGGCCTGTCACCAAGAGTGCATTATTCCCCACAAAGTGGAGCCAGTAAGTCCTCGGGGTTTATGGTGCTGCACCCTGGTTTCAGGAGCTGCAGCTGTAAGTGATTCCCTTCACCTGCACTGGGTGTTGCTGATGGAACAGGCCCAGCTGAGGGTGGCTCCCCCAGGGGCCTGTTGCTGTGTAGCTAAGGAAGAGACAGAGGGTGACAAGGAGAGGCTGCTTTGTAGACTGGCAGCTGGGCTGGGGGTGTGTGCATGGCACAGTGGCTGTGGCTGGGAGGGCTCCCTCCTGCCGTGTGTGTGGCATGTCCCCAGAGGGATGTGCTTCCAGGGGTCCCTCTGCTGTCTCACTTGGAAGGCACAGGGCTCTTTCTGGCTGGGAAGGAGCTGTGCCACTGGGGGGGCCAGGAGAGGTGACAGCTGGGAGCATGCTTGCTGGGGAAATGGTGGAAGGAGAGTGCAGGGCTAATCCTGCTGCCTTTCCTGTCCCTTTGCAGTGGTTCCCTTCTGCCACAGCAGTGACCAGCCCTCAGCCCTGCAGCAGCAATTCTCGGAGTGGGAGTGCGGCTCAGCGGTGCCACAAGGCCCAGGTCAGTATCCCAATGTCCCCTCTTCCTTGGGGCCAAGGGCCTCAAGGGGCTGTGCCAGGTCAGGTCAAAGCACATCCCCAAAGGAACTTTGGAGAGCCTTGAGATGCCCTTACAAGGATTGCCCCGGCTTTGGGTACACAAGGCTCACTGCTCATACCCCAAAGCAATGGGAAGGAATGTCTGAACTATCCCTGTTTCTTCAAGCACTTTCTGTCAGGAAAAGTCACTGAGCAGGACATGGGCACTGTCCCTGGAAAACCTGGATATCTGCAATCACCATCTCTTGTTAGTAGCCTGCATCTGTCTGTCCTCTCCCTGCACAGACCGAGGCTGGATGTGCTGCCCAAAGGGCTGGAGAAGGTTTCAAGGAAGCTGCTATTTCCTGTCCACTGACACCATGAACTGTGCTGAGAGTGCAGAGAACTGCACTGGGATGGGCTCCCAGCTGGTGGTGATCACCAGCCAGGCAGAGCAGGTGAGTGCACAGGGCCCCAGAGAGAGGGACCCAGCAGGCAGAGCCACAGTGCAGGGCCCTGGAGGGGACTCAGAGCCCCTCCTTGTCCTGCAGGGGAGGGGCAAGGACCTGTCTGCACCTCTGCAGCACCAGCCCCCTCTGCAGCACCAGCCCCACATCATGGGGATTCCTGATGCCTCTCTGTGCTCAGTCCTCATGGACATTGTGCTCTCTCTTTCTGATTGCCAGGTATTCCTCATTGAGCAGGGAACTCAGCGTCCGAGCAGAGATCTTTTCTACATTGGTCTGTTTGAGGATGATATGGGCCAGTGGCAGTGGGTGGACAAGACTCCCTACAATGAGACAGCAGCGTGAGTATCTCTAGATGAAGAGTGTTTGGTGTGACTCCTGGTAGGGAAAGAAAGTAGGAGAGATGTGAGAGCTTCAGGTGCTGCATGAGAGGGAGTTGTCACCCCACTGTCTTGGCAGAGAGTAAAGATGCAGAAGGAGAGAGCTTTGTAGTACACTCAGTTCACATGGCCCCATCTGTGCTGGGTATTGGTTATGAATTAACTACCTGTGATCTGGAAATCATTGCTGTCAGCCTAGAAAAAGCTGCATTTTGCCATCAGCAAGAGCCCTTAAGACTTGACAGGCCTTGGCTGGCCTACACAGCACTTATATGAGCAAAATGGCTGTGCTGAAATTCAAGGAAAGAGAATGGGGCACAGGGAGAGAGCACCAGGACTGTCCTTGCTGTGCCTTCTTCTGGAGAACAAACTTGCCCTGGAGGCCAGCACGGGCCTCTGCTGTGTGTGAGGTGCATGGGGTGAGTGGTGGTGAGCAGTTGCCTCCAGCAGGATGGAGCAGGGCTCTGTTGTGCTGGAAGGCTGTAGGAAGGAGGCAGGTTTCCATGTGCCACTGGAGCCAGTGGGATATGGAGTGGGAGGAAGGGCACTGCTTCAGTCCATGGATCAGCATTGGGAATTTGTGTCTCTGGCCTTCAAGTCTGGTATCCCATTGTGGTCTTTTCCTGCAGGGCTTTACAGTGGGCACTGGGGAGTAACAGGCCTGTCTGTGTCCCAGGTTCTGGCGAGAAGGAGAACCAAGTCCAGGCCATACTGAGAACTGCACAATAATGCATTTGCCTGCATGGACTCACAACAACTGGAATGATGTCCTACCAACTACGAAGCATCATCGAATTTGTGAAGCTGCAGCAATATTTGTGTGATGGAAATGCCCCGGTCCTGAGTAAAGCTGGGAGCTCAGCAGGGAGCTGGGAACAGCTCTGGCTGTGCTGGGAAGGGTGGGGAGCTCTGGCACATCTTCACTGTGTGGGGTGGGACCACGTGTATGGAAATGAAATGAGCTTTGTCCAGCATCCCCAGTGCCTGTGCTGGCTCAGGGAACACAGGGAGGCTCAGACACTTTGGAGCATCTCCTGTGTTCTTGTGTCCTCTTCTCTCTATGTGGTTCCAGCAGCCTCTGGCTGATAAGAGATGGACTTCTCCAGGAGGAAGGCCCTGGAATGGAAGGCAGATATCCTGAGATTCAATGTCCTCTGTCTCCTTGAGCAGAGCTGTTTGCTTTTTGTTGAATCACACACAAAATGTCCTCTAGCTGTACTGGTTGTGCTGAACAAATTCTGAAATTTTAGACAAGAGAAAATACAGTATCAGACCAATGAAGAAAGGCCCTCTGCTCTGTGTGCATATCTGTCTGTCCTTTTCCATCTCTAGGCTGTGGGGAAATAATCCACAAACTGTGGAATGGTTTGGGTTGGAAGGGACTTTTACGGATAATCTAGTTTTGTGCCCCCTGGATCATGGGCAGGGACCCCTTCTTCTAGACCAGATTGCTCATATCCCCATCCAGCCTGGCTGTGAACACTTCAGGGATGTGACAGCCACATCTCCTATGGGCAACTGGATCCCGTGCCTCACCACCTCACAGTAATGTATTCCTTCCTAATATTTAATCAAAACCTGTATCCTGTCATTCCCTTTTTTCCTATCATGACCTTCTTGTGTACAAATTCCCTCTCAGCAAGGCCATTTCCCCTGCTGTAATACTGACACTGGCAAGGATTGGACTTCATTCCACAGGGTACAGTCAATAACACAAGCAAATGTGGAGAAGTGTCACAGGCAGCTGTGAGAAAGCAGTTGTCAGCAGAGACTTGTGGTGGTACCAGAGAACCGAAGAAGCGCCGTGCTGCAAATATCCTCCCTTCCCTTTCCTGGTGTCCTGGTCCTCTCCAGGTTCCCAGTGCAGATGTGTATCTCATGCAGAACTAACTCCTTTTCTGATGCCACTTGAGTTGATGTCCCTTGGTGTCCTGTGGTGGGAACATGATCAGCAATGTCTTCAGGGCCTCTTTGGGCCTGAGATGCTTCTCCCCTGCTCCCATTGCTTTCTTCCCAGTTCCAAGCCTTACCTTTCCTCACAACTCCTACTTCAGCTATTTCTTGACACCATTTCTCTCTCTTTGCCTCAGCCTACTCTCATTCCCTGCTGGCTCTGCCTAAGCCCAGTTCTCTGGCTGAGAGCACAGTACAACTCCCTTCAGCCCCCGTAGGTCACACATCTAGACCCAGAGTCAGTGTGCCTCCCCTGGGGACCCACTGCCAGACAGCCCCTCTGGTTTTGGGACTCTTATGGGGGTCAAGCTCGTCCCTGCAAAGCAGCATTTTATCCACTTGCCTCAGAGTTTATTTGCATGTTGACTTTCTTCTCCACTGTGTATTTGCATGCATCTGTCTTGCAGGCATGTGTTCTTCTCTGGTTTGAGTTCATTTCTCTACTTCCCACATCACTTGTCCTCCCAGCTTGTCTCCTGGCTTGTCCCTTCTCACGTGTTCAGGGCAATTTCTGCTCTTTGACTTGTTGTTACCTTTTCCTCCCCATGGGCTCTGTCTTTGCATTACTGGAATGAAATAGTCCCTGCTTTGCCTCCTTCTCAACCCAGCCTGAATAACAGGATAGGGAGCAAAAGAAACACAGCGGGGCTCCACTTTGGTGATCCGACTGTGTCCTCTCACTTCATGGAATGGCTCTCCATCTTCCTTGTGAGTTCTTCCTGCACAGGAGTCCTGGGCTGAGACTTTCTTCCAGACACATGCAGGAGATGAGCTCTCATGGAGCCAGCTCTGGCCTGGCCTACCAGGCTGTCATTTCAACAATGGGTAGTGGTGACAGCACATCCTCGTGGCCCTGCAGGGGAGGGCCTCTCCCTGTGCAGCCTAGAAACCATGCCCTGCCATGCACAGCTTCTCCCAACACCTGCCTGGGCTGCTGGGCTTGGGTCTGCCCAGAGGGGGCCTCCTTATCCAGGTCTTGAGCACCATTCCCACACTTTTCTGGCTTTTGCCATGCAGGATCCCCTTTAGGCCTCCCCTCTGCCATAACTCTTAGCACACAAGCAGGACAAGGAGCACATTTCCTGTCTGCCCTCCTCCACACAAGAGCCAGCCCTGCACAGGAGGCTTAGGCCTGCTGTGGTGCAGCCAGTGAAGGTGCACAGGCCCTGAAGGACAGAGCTGACCAGCAGGTTCCTCTGCTGGCTGTCCACTCCTGGGCTCAGCCTGTGGTGAGCAGCAGCCCCTGCTGGGTCTGGACACGGCCCCCTCCCCTTGGCTGTGGATTCCATTCATCATGGACTGGTGCCCATGGGAACAGGGCAGGAAGAGAACATGGGTGATTCATCCTGGGAGTTTGGGATGAATCAGGATCTGGAAGAGTCTGTCTCCATGTCCCTCTGAGCCCTGAGACCCCAGGTCCTGGAGCTCATCCTTCTCTGCAAGACATGACAAGGCCATGGTGCAGGGTGACACCTCTCCACTTGTGGAGCCCTGGGGAACTGACTAATGTGAAAGGTGCAGCCTGTGCTGTAATCCTCCAGAAGGCAGCAGGACAGCAGGGCTGGAACAATCTCCCACAGCAATGAGAGCCATTGTCTCCTGTCCTGGGTTGAAAAGGAAGTGAGTTTTTTGGGATGCTTTGGTCAAACCAATATGTGCTCAGCTTTGAATATTGGCACCTGATGTGGCCTCTGAGGACATGGATTCGCCTCTGACAATACGGGGGTTAAAAGCAGGGAACTCCCAGTGGGGAAGCTCTCTTGGGTTCTGGCGTGAAGGAGGTCAGAGCTTCCCTGCCCTGCTGCTGCAGGCTGGGCGAGGGAGGGGAAGCCATGCGGCCCAGCCCGGTGAGGTGAGGTGGGGCCTTGGACAGAGAAGGGAGGTGAAGAGGCCCCTGAGGATGGAAGTGTGAAAAACGCCAATCACTTGTTTTTAAAATTTTTAAAAGTTTACTAGTAATAAAATAGTTAAAAAGAATAGTAACACAATTAGAGTAATGACAATTTGGACAAATTGAATTAGGACAATATGAGACAATAAAAACAAAGAGTTACGGACGTCTGGGTACCTTTTTCTGGGCATCACGAGCCCGAAAAAGGACACCCGTTAACAAAGGATTAACCCTTAAGAACAATAGCCCGTTGCATATTCATACACTTCATACATGATGAATAAATTCCACTCAAATACAGGATTCTGTCTGGTCAGTGTCAACTTCTTCCTTCTAATCCTAACAGTGCCTCCAAGGCAGGAAGAAGTTTGTTTCTTCTGATAAGAAGGCAATAAATTCCCTTTCTCTGAAAGATTTAGGTGTCCTGTGGCTGCTATCTCGCTGCAAGCCCTTTCTGTTAAACAAAGCATCTTACATAGCATAGTTTCTATTTTAACAATTTTTATAACCTAAAACTATATTTAACACAGTACTTAAGAAAATTAATACAGCATTATTTTCTAACACAACACATATAATATTCATTTTAATATTTGCGAAAAGCCAATCATAAAATACATGCATTTTTCACAGAAGGGTGGAGGAACACCGAGAGGCATCGGGCAGCCACCCCCCAGAGAGGGAGTGAGCTGGTGCCTGGGCTTGTGCCATCTTGAAATTTGATAGCACGGCCAGCTGAGAAGGAGAAGGAGGGGTTGCACCGAGAAGGTGCCCGGCAGGGCAGCCGTGGGAGTTCTGAGGAGGCAGAGCCTGAAATTTTTAATCCTTTTCTTGGATGATGGAAACCTTACAAATGCTGATCCTCCTGGAGGTGAATGAGAAGAGAGATAGAGATAAGAGGAAATGGGCCACGAGAGAAGTTGAGAAGAATCTTAGGTGGGAGTAGGTGATGGGGCGGCCTTTGGCTGGACTTTTCTTCTATAGCTATGGACAGAACCATTTTTCCTGTGACACAGAGACTGCATTTAGGGGGAGGCAATGGCTTGGAGCCACGATAGTGCAGTGATGTTATGTGAAGGAGTGCGTGAAAAGAGACAACGGGTGAGGAGGGTGGTTGGTGCCCTCTGTCTTCAGTGAAGGAGATGATCTCTGTTCTCGAGACCCCTCGGCCCCAGGGGGTGCATTTGGGGGAGACTGGTGTCCCGAAAGTGAGAGACTGTGTTTTTTTCTGGAACTGGGCGAAGCATCCTTAAAAGGGGAGCCCTAGAAGCAGCTCTGGTCCATGTGCAGTGGTGAGAACACTGGGCATGGAAGGAAGATGTCAGGATGGCAAATGACCGTGACATATCCAAATATCTGAAGCTGAAGCATAAAATGCCTGAGGGAGGATACCTCATCCTGAGGATAATGGGAGGCCAGCAGTTACACACAGAGGGTCTTTGAGGTGGGTGTGAATGCTGCAGCCTGCATCCCCACTTTGCTGAGAAGAAATATTGTGTGGAAGACTGATGGTCAGGCAGTGGATAGCATTCCTCCCTCCTCTGCTCTGAACACTTCTAACTCAGCCTCTCTTCATGTGCACGAGGTCCATCCCAAAGATGCTCCATTTGCCCTGTCAAGGCCTAGGAAGCTGCTGTCAGTTACTCCTGCCTGGCAAAGACTGGCTTTGCAAGGAGATTGGCAATTTGCTGTCAGTCACTAGGACACATGGCCAGTGCTGTGGTCAGCTGCCTGAGGAACAGCCTGCAGAGAACAGTGCAGCCTTGTCCCCAGGCCTCTGGGGAGTCTCCAGAAAAAAGGCCACATTTCCTCTCTGTCTTGGGCACATTCACTCTGTGTCCTGCTCTTGGTGCCCAGGTGAGACTGGAGGTGCTGCACAATGGGCTGGAGAGGTTTCTTAAGTTGGTGCTCGCACATATTGGCTGAACAGATGTCTTGGAAAGCAAGGACACAGGCTTCCACTGGGTGGGCATCAATGCAGAAGCACATCAGCAGAGTGGGAGTCTACCAAGGGAGTCTTGCAAATAAATGCTCGAACTGGCCACTGTTTGCCCTCCTGAAGCCCCTGGTTGTCATCCAGGCCATCAGTCTTCCACACAATATTCCCTCTCAGCCAAGTGGGAATGCAGGCTGCAGCATTCACACCCAGCTCAAAGACCCTCTGTGTGTAACTGCTGGCCTCACATTATCCTCGGGATGAGGTTTCCTCCATCAGGCATTTTATGCTTCAGCTTCAGATATTTGCAGACAAAGGCTGTCACTGCTGTGGGAGATTGTTCCAGCCCTGCTGTCCTGCTGCCTTCTGGAGGATTACAGCACAGGCTGCACCTTTCACATTAGTCAGTTCCCCAGGGCTCCACAAGTGGAGAGGTGTCACCCTGCACCATGGCCTTGTCATGTCTTGCAGAGAAGGATGAGCTCCAGGACCTGGGGTCTCAGGGCTCAGAGGGACATGGAGACAGACTCTTCCAGATCCTGATTCATCCCAAACTCCCAGGATGAATCACCCTTGTTCTCCTCCTGCCCTGTTCATAGGGGAAGATGTCCATGATGAATGGAATCCTGCCTTCTTCCTACAGCCAAGGGGTGGGGGCCGTGTCCAGACCCAGCAGGGGCTGCTGCTCACCACAGGCTGAGCCCAGGAGTGGACAGCCAGCAGAGGAACCTGCTGGTCAGCTCTGTCCTTCAGGGCCTGTGCACCTTCACTGGCTGCACCACAGCAGGCCTAAGCCTCCTGTGCAGGGCTGGCTCTTGTGTGGAGGAGGGCAGACAGGAAATGTGCTCCTTGTCCTGCTTGTGTGCTAAGAGTTATGGCAGAGGGGAGGCCTAAAGGGGATCCTGCATGGCAAAAGCCAGAAAAGTGTGGGAATGGTGCTCAAGACCTGGATAAGGAGGCCCCCTCTGGGCAGACCCAAGCCCAGCAGCCCAGGCAGGTGTTGGGAGAAGCTGTGCATGGCAGGGCATGGTTTCTAGGCTGCACAGGGAGAGGCCCTCCCCTGCAGGGCCACGAGGATGTGCTGTCACCACTACCCATTGTTGAAATGACAGCCTGGTAGGCCAGGCCAGAGCTGGCTCCATTGGGGCTCATCTCCTGCATGTGTCTGGAAGAAAGTCTCAGCCCAGGACTCCTGTGCAGGAAGAACTCACAAGGAAGATGGAGAGCCATTCCATGAAGTGAGAGGACACAGTCGGATCACCAAAGTGGAGCCCCACTGCGTTTCTTTTGCTCCCTATCCTGTTATTCAGGCTGGGTTGAGAAGGAGGCAAAGCAGGGACTATTTCATTCCAGTAATGAAAAGACAGAGCCCATGGGGAAGAAAAGGTAACAACAAGTCAAAGAGCAGAAATTGCCCTGAACACGTGAGAAGGGGCAAGCCTGGGAGGACAAGTGATGTGGGAAGTAGAGAAATGAACTCAAACCAGAGAAGAACACATGCCTGCAAGACAGATGCATGCAAATACACAGTGGAGAAGAAAGTCAACATGCAAATAAACTCTGAGGCAAGTGGATAAAATGCTGCTTTGCAGGGACGAGCTTGACCCCCATAAGAGTCCCAAAACCAGAGGGGCTGTCTGGCAGTGGGTCCCCAGGGGAGGCACACTGACTCTGGGTCTAGATGTGTGACCTACGGGGGCTGAAGGGAGTTGTACTGTGCTCTCAGCCAGAGAACTGGGCTTAGGCAGAGCCAGCAGGGAATGAGAGTAGGCTGAGGCAAAGAGAGAGAAATGGTGTCAAGAAATAGCTGAAGTAGGAGTTGTGAGGAAAGGTAAGGCTTGGAACTGGGAAGAAAGCAATGGGAGCAGGGGAGAAGCATCTCAGGCCCAAAGAGGCCCTGAAGACATTGCTGATCATGTTCCCACCACAGGACACCAAGGGACATCAACTCAAGTGGCATCAGAAAAGGAGTTAGTTCTGCATGAGATACACATCTGCACTGGGAACCTGGAGAGGACCAGGACACCAGGAAAGGGAAGGGAGGATATTTGCAGCACGGTGCTTCTTCGGTTCTCTGGTACCACCACAAGTCTCTGCTGACAACTGCTTTCTCACAGCTGCCTGTGACACTTCTCCACATTTGCTTGTGTTATTGACTGTATCCTGTGGAATGAAGTCCAATCCTTGCCAGTGTCCATACTACGGCAAAGGAAATGGCCTTGCTGACAGGGAATTTGTACACAAGAACATTGTTATAGCACAAAGGGGAATGGCTTTAAACTGACAGAGAGCAGGTTTTGATTAAATATTATGGAGGAGTAGTGGTTCCTTCGTAATATTTAGGAAAGTGAGTTGGTGAGGCACCGGAACCAGTTTCCCATAGGAGATGTATCCCAACTGTAATATGTTCAAGGCCAGCCTGGAGGGGATATGAGCAATCTGGTCTAGAGGAAGGGGTCCCTGCCCATGATCCAGGGGGCTTGAAACTAGACTATCCTTAAAAGTCTCTTCCACCCCAAACCATTCCATGGTTTGTGGATTATTTCCCCACAGTCTAGAAATGGAAAAGGACAGACAGATATGCACACAGAGCAGAGGGCCTTTCTTCATTGGTCTGATACTGTATTTTCTCTTGTTTAAGATTTCAGAATTTGTTCAGCACAACCAGTACAGCTAGAGGACATTTTGTGTGTGATTCAACAAAAAGCAAACAGCTCTGCTCAAGGAGACAGAGGACATTGAATCTCGGGATATCTGCCTTCCTTCTGGAGAAGTCCATCTCTTATCAGCCAGAGGCTGCTGGAACCACATAGAGAGAAGAGGACACAAGAACACAGGAGCTGCTCCAAAGTGTCTGAGCCTCCCTGTGTTCCCTGAGCCAGCACAGGCACTGGGGATGCTGGACAAAGCTCATTTCATTTCCACACACATGGTCCCACCCCACACAGTGAAGATGTGCCAGAGCTCCCCACCCTTGCCAGCACAGCCAGAGCTGTTCCCAGCTCCCTGCTGAGCTCCCAGCTTTACTCAGGTCAGGGGCATTTCCATCACACAGTTACTGCTGCAGCTTCACAAATTCGATGATAGTTCAAACATCTGACACTATTCCAGTTGTTGGGTAGTTCAGTATCCCTGTAGATTATAACGCAATTCTCATCATAGCCTTCACTTGGTTCTCCTTTTGGCCAGAACCTGGGACACAGAGACAGGCTTGTTACTCCCCAGTGCCCACTGTAAAGCACTGCAGGAAAAGGCCTCAGTGGGATACCAGACTTGAACGGAACAGACACAAATTCCCAATGCTGATTCATGGACTGAAGCAGTGCCCTTCCTCCCACTCCATATCCCATGGGCTCCAGTGGCACATGGAAACTTGCCTCCTTCCTACAGCCTTCCAGCACAACAGAGCTTCCCTGCTCCATCCTGCTGGGGGCAACTGCTCACCACCACTCACCCCATGCACCTCACACACAACAGAGGCCCGTGCTGGACTCCAGGGAAAGTTTGTGACATCTCCTTCTGTTTCACCCACAGGCACCTTCATGTCTACTCTACTTTCTTTCCCTACCAGGAGTCACACCAAACACTCTTCATGCAGAAATACTCACGCTGCTGTCACATTGTAGGGAGTCTTGTCCACCCACTGCCACTGGCCCTCCTGCTCTGCAAACAGTCCAATGTATGAATTGTCTCGTTTCGGATCTTTAGATTGCCTTATCTGCTCAGAGAGGAATTCCTGGCAATCAGAGAGAGAGAGACCAATGTCCATGTGTTGCAGGACTGAGCACAGAGAGGCATCAGGAATCCCCATGATGTGGGGCTGGTGCTGCAGAGGGGGCTCGTGCTGCAGAGGTGCAGACAGGTCCTTGCCCCTCCCCTGCAGGACAAGGAGGGGCTCTGAGTCCCTTCCAGGGCCCTGCACTGTGGCTCTGCCTGCTGGGTCCCTCTCTCTGGGGCCCTGTGCACTCATCTGCTCTGCCTGGCTGGTGATCACCACCAGCTGGGAGCCCATCCCAATGCAGTTCTCTGCACTCTCAGCACAGTTCATGGTGTCAGTGGACAGGAAATAGCAGCTTCCTTGAAACCTTCTCCAGCCCTTTGGGCAGCACATCCAGCCTCGGTCTGTGCAGGGAGAGGACAGACAGATGCAGGCTACTAACAAGAGATGGTGATTGCAGATATCCAGGTTTTCCAGGGACAGTGCCCATGTCCTGCTCAGTGACTTTTCCTGACAGAAAGTGCTTGAAGAAACAGGGATAGTACAGACATTCCTTCCCAATGCTTTGGGGTATGAGCAGTGGGCCTTGTGTACCCAAAGCCAGGGTAATCCTTGTAAGAGCATCTCAGGGCTCTCCAAAGTTCCTTTGGGGATGTGCTTTGGCCTGCCCTGGCACAGCCCCTTGAGGCCCTTGGCCCCAAGGAAGAGGGGACATTGGGATACTGACCTGGGCCTTGTGGCACCGCTGAGCCGCACTCCCACTCCGAGAATTGCTGCTGCAGGGCTGAGGGCTGGTCACTGCTGTGGCAGAAGGGAACCACTGCAAAGGGACAGGAAAGGCAGCAGGATTAGCCCTGCACTCTCCTTCCACCATTTCCCCAGCAAGCATGCTCCCAGCTGTCACCTCTCCTGGCCCCCCCAGTGGCACAGCTCCTTCCCAGCCAGAAAGAGCCCTGTGCCTTCCAAGTGAGACAGCAGAGGGACCCCTGGAAGCACATCCCTCTGGGGACATGCCACACACACGGCAGGAGGGAGCCCTCCCAGCCACAGCCACTGTGCCATGCACACACCCCCAGCCCAGCTGCCAGTCTACAAAGCAGCCTCTCCTTGTCACCCTCTGTCTCTTCCTTAGCTACACAGCAACAGGCCCCTGGGGGAGCCACCCTCAGCTGGGCCTGTTCCATCAGCAACACCCAGTGCAGGTGAAGGGAATCACTTACAGCTGCAGCTCCTGAAACCAGGGTGCAGCACCATAAACCCCGAGGACTTACTGGCTCCACTTTGTGGGGAATAATGCACTCTTGGTGACAGGACACAGCCACAATCCCAAGGACTTCCTAGGAACTCAGACACTCATCAGGAGTATGGATTAGGAGCTGATCAGGGTGTGCCCAACAATCCAGATGCCTATTTTCATTGATCGTTCAATTTAGAACTATTGTCACTGATGAGCAGAAGAATCCCAGTGGCTCCAGTGCCTGATGAGTGAATGGCTGTAATGGAGGAAGGCTCAGAGGAGATGGGCAATGCCTGGTTGAGCACCTCCATTGCCAATAAAGGTGACCTTGTCCGTACCCAATGATAAAGGATGAGAAGAGAGATTACTTGTGGTTTAGTTCAGCTGAGGGATCTGACCTGCTGTGGAGCGGTTCATCCCTGCAGGGATCAAAAATGGTCATGTCTGGCAGAGCTGTTTTCTACCTTATGCCACAGGCACTTTACCTGCTGGCAGAGGCACTCGGATGTGGGTTTCCCACCTGACCAAGGGCAGCCACCTGAGCCCTTCATCCCAAGGGAATTAAGACACCCTGGAACTCACCAAGCCAGAGGCACAAGGTCCCAATGGCAGCTTTGATTGCAAGGGCAAAAATAAGGAAGACCCAGATGTTCAGCCAGGAGCAGCCTCTCTCTTCTGCTGGGGCTGGAAAACACAAAGCAAGAGTGAGCGTGTCCCAGCCCAGAGTTAGGAGCAGGATAACCCAGGGGGCTCTGTTCCCCAGCACCCTGCTGCTCCCTTCTTCCAAGCACTGGGGAGCCCCTCAGGTGCTGCAAGCAGGTCCTGCTGCCTGTCCCTAGCAGTGGCTCAGAGCCACAGAGTACAGGAGCACAGGGGCTGCCCTGAGGCTGCTTTTCTATTTCCCTGTTTATCACAAGACCTGCCTGGATTCTGCCCAACCCTCACTCCCCCTTTGTCCTCTCAGACCACCTTTCTCCTCAACACATCTTCCATGTTGCCTTCCATTACCCTGTCTGTCCCTGAATGCTCTTTGTGGAGCTCCCTCCTCTTCCTCTCTCTTTAGAGCTTCTTTCCCTCACTCCCTGCATTGTGCATCTGTCCCATGAGCCCCTTTCTGCAGTGGCACAGTCGCCCAAAGCAGTGAGTGCCCAGCTCAGGGTGTGCACAGCCAGACCCACAGAGGGATTGTTTCCACAGGGGGAAAAGGCACTTGGGAGCTCTTGGGGAGCCCTGGCTGGGGTGTCCTTGGAGACAGCAGAGATGGGAGCAGGGACTTGTGCTCAGAGAGATGCAGAGAGCTTTAGCAGGGCAATGACAGAAGGACAGCCCCCTTCAGCCCCATTGTTTACAGACACAGCACTGAGGGAAGAGCAGGGCACGCTCTGCCTGCACTTCCATTCCCCCTGGCTCTAGGAAAAGCTCATTCTGCCAGCGTGCCCACTGCCCACTGCCCTCATCTCTTGCTTTGCTCTTGCCCTGAGCCCCATCTCCTACTGCCCACTGCACCATGCCCAGGATCCATCCCAGCCCTGCCTTTCCCCAACCCCTGTGGCAGGAGGACAGAAAGCAAGGAAGGTTTTGGGGTTACCTGCATTTCCAGGACTGACTCTCCCTTGGCCATTCATCATCTCTGCAGGAGGATCACTCTTCTCCAAGGGTCCCTGTTACCAGTGTGGGCACAAACAGCCTTCCTCCTGCACAGGGCACCTCCCACTCTGGTGAGGGGCCTGCACAGGCCTTAATCTGGTGGCCTAAAAAAGCCATATCCTGGGTGTACCCACAGCACAGGAGATTGAGGAACTTCCATCATTTCCCTGACAGGGCATTTCACACAAGAATCATTGCAACACACAATCTCATGAAGGCAAGGGAAAGCAGATGAAGGACAGCATCACTGCAGCTCACACAATCTCCCTTTGCCCAGCCTCAGGCACTTGCACAGGTCATCCATGGCCTTCCCTCTCTGCTGCCTGCTCTCTCCTGCTCAGAGTCCATGTGTGTGACAGTACACACATGGGCAGGTATATTTGGCATTGGCTAGCAAAGGGTTAAACCCACTGAGCACAGCCTCCAAAAGGGAACCAAAAACGAGAGGAAAGCAGATTTGTGACTGAGTCTGGGCTGTGCCCAGGTGCATCCTGAGAACAGAAGAGAATTTGCCAATACACTTTTTAACTATATCCTTTAGAAATATGGATGGAGCTTTGGGCAGTGGTGTTCAATATGCCTTCTTTGTGGGGCTGGAGGGCAGAAAGGATGATTGGATGGTGCTGGAGTCCCTTTGCATGCCAGATCAGGAATTTTGCCTTGGTTATGACTACAAAAGCTGACGCCCTACATGGTGTTTCTAGCAGTTCTCAAGGAGATCTGGATTCAAGTCCAGCAGCCTCATATTCCTAACGACATCTCTAAGGAAAAAGGATCCCTACTGGATCCCAATGTCCTCTGAATGGACTGAGATGGAAACACAGCTTTTGCTCTTGTTCCATCAGATGGTTTCTCCCTGTGGAGAGGAATGCATGGGGGCAGAGACACAGGAATAGGAGAGCTCATAGCTTAACATCCCTCCTAAATTGAGGGGCCCAGAACTGGACGCAATACTCAAGGTGTGGCCTCACCAGTGCCCATAGCTGCAACTATGAGAGTTTCACTTTCCCCCATAGCTCTGCAGCTTGGCCACCTCTGTGTGCAAGAAGGTCCCTGGCAGCTCAGTGCTGTGGGTGACCTCACTGATGGCACTGAGGGCAGCAGCAGGCACACACCCACAGTTCTGCAGTGTGACAGTGTGACCCTGTGCTTTCACCTGTGCTTCACAGGCTGCTGGGAGAGCTGTGGATTCTCAGGAACCCCACATTTCCAGCAGGAAGTGTGTGGGACCAGGGGAAGCCCTGCTCCCACAAAGGGGATGTGTGCTTGCAACTGCATTTCCTGCATGGCTGGTGGGAGGCTGGAGGTTCCACAGGTCTTGGGAATGTGTTTTTCTGTGGGGTGAGAGCTTGTGAACACTGCTTACATAGAGATGTTTAGAAATGTAGGCTGTGACCCTGCCTGCAGCCTGTTGTGCACAAAATAACAGAATCAGGGGATGTCTTCTACAGAGAGCTCAGGCTTGTCCTCCCTTGTAAGCAGTTCTGTACCCTGATCTTGTGATGCCTCAGCTGAAATGCCTGTGCTGCTGCTGTGAGCTCTCCTATTCCTGTGTCTCTGCCCCCATGCATTCCTCTCCACAGGGAGAAACCAGCTGATGGAACATCTCAGCCTGTTCCACGTATGTCTGCAGCATTTGCAGTCACAACCAAGTGAGACTTCGTGATCTGTCATGCACATGGACTCTGGCACTGCCAAGTGATCCTTCTGCCCCACAGTGCCAGGTCATCCTGAACCCCTTTGCTCAAAGCCCAGCTCCCTTCCAATGCAATGAGACCAAAACAGTGTCACAAGTTCTCTGTTGTGCTCAGGTTTTCTGGGCTCAGGATGCCAATGGTCACTGCCCAGACTCAGTCACAGATCTTCTTGCCTCTCATTTTTGGTTCCCTTTTGCAGGCTGTGCTCAGTGGGTTTAACCCTTTGCTAGCCAATGCCAAACACACCTGCCCGTGTATGTATTGTCACACACATGGAGCCTCAGCAGGAGAGAGCAGGCAGCAGAGAGGGAAGGCCATGGATGACCTGTGCAAGTGCCTGAGGCTGGGCAAAGGGAGATTGTGTGAGCTGCAGTGATGCTGTCCTTCATCTGCTTTCCTTTGTCTTGGTGACTTGGTGTTTTGCAATGATCATCTTGTGAAATGTCCAGGCAGGGAAATTATGAAAATTTCCCAATGTCCATGTGCTGTGGGGTACACCAGAGTGGGAGGTGCCCTGTGCAGGAGGAAGGCTGTTTGTGCCCACACTGGTAACAGGGACCCTTGGAGAAGAGTGATCCTCTTGCAGAGATGATGAATGGCCAAGGGAGAGTCAGTTCTGGAAGTGCAGGTAAGCCCCAAACCTTCTTTCCTTTCTGTCCTCCTGCCACAGGGGTTGGGGGGAAGGCAGGGCTGGGATGGATCCTGGGCATGGTGCAGTGGGCAGCAGGAGATGGGGCTCAGGGCAAGAGCAAAGCAAGAGATGAGGGCAGTGGGCAGTGGGCACGCTGGCAGAATGAGCTTTTCCTAGAGCCTCAGGGCAGCCCCTGTGCTCCTGTACTCTGTGGCTCTGAGCCACTGCTAGGGACAGGCAGCAGGACCTGCTTGCAGCACCTGAGGGGCTCCCCAGTGCTTGGAAGAAGGGAGCAGCAGGGTGCTGGGGAACAGAGCCCCCTGGGTTATCCTGCTCCTAACTCTGGGCTGGGACACGCTCACTCTTGCTTTGTGTTTTCCAGCCCCAGCAGAAGAGAGAGGCTGCTCCTGGCTGAACATCTGGGTCTTCCTTATTTTTGCCCTTGCAATCAAAGCTGCCTTTGTGACCATCTGTCTTTGTGAGTTCCAGGGTGTCTTAATTTCCTCAACATTAAGGGCTCAAGTGACTGCTTTTTTTCAGGTGAAAGCCCATATCCTAGTCCCTCTTCCAGGCAGGCAAATGCCTTTCACCAAAACAGGCCTGTCTAGTCTTATTGGCTTATCCCATGACTTCTGTGTCCCTTTCCTCATCCCTTCCTTAGAAGATTTCTAATCTGGGTTTGTCATCTGGGCTAGTGTGTCTCTCAGACAACTGAGATGAGAGAAGCTCTTCTGAGAGAAGGAATGACTGGCAGTGGGAGAAGTGGCCTGCTCAATCCAGATTTCATGGCTTGTTACTAAACAGTCTGTGTTGGGGCTCCAAAGCAGAAGTTAGAGGATAGCACAGGTTGCTCATGCACGAGATGAAAAGGATGACAATAGCACTTTGCTTTGCTTCCCTCACTTCTCAGTGGCGTTACTTGATGGAAGCTCTGGCCATTACAAGATTCTCCTCCAGAATTCTACTGAGTGGTTCTGTGTCCCCAGCAGTTCTGCAGAGAAAGGTGAGTGATGCTGAGAGCCTCATAAGTAACAAAAGGACTTCACCAACATTTTGTTTGGTTTCCCCTCAACCTTCGAGGTGGGGAATATTACTGCCAGTCACAAGTGGATTGTTTGAAGGAAGGAATCTGTGGAATTGAGGTAAGACACTCTATTGTACATCTTTAGTAAGAATGCTATGAAAACATGCTCCAGGTCAGTGAAAGAGGGTGGGTCATTCCATACCTGCATTTGACCAACCTCCCTACTCTTCCCCTCACACAAGCCCTCAATTGCAAGTCTAATTGACTGATCTAGAGGGAAGTGCTTTTATACTGGCTGCTTCAATCCAGCTTCACTTCCTTTGCTGGCTCACTGCCTGTTCACACAAGCATGATGGTCAGTGTGGGGGACAGAGGAGGGAGGATGATGTTTAGCTCAGAATAGCTGGGGAGCTGAGCTGCAGTCCCACATGAAGTGATGGTAATATGGAGCACTGGAATGCTGGTAGTGCAAGTTCTCAACCTCAGGTCAGAGATCCCTTCTCATGCAGCCATTCCCTTTGTGGGAACATATCTGTAGCTTTTAATCCACCATTTGAATCTCTGGGCATAAGGCAGGTCTCTTGGATAAGCTGGCTGTGTAAGGAACTGCCTGTGGTGGCAGCAAGGCTGTTGGAGCAGGCTCTGAATCTGCATGAGCTGAGAGCTTGGACAGCTCTTCTCTGATGGAATTGTTTCTAGAAAAGCACAAACCAGCTACTTCTCATCTTGCTTCCTCAGGAAGGGTAAGGCAGAACCATGTCTCTCACCAAAGAGAGGTTGCATGGACATGGCAGGACAGAGAGAGAAAGGGAAGAGACCCCTTCAGGCAGGAGTCTTGTGACAGGCTGCTGACAGCTTTACTTGTGGAGAGCAGAAAAGAGCATTTATCTCTGTCCAGGCTTTGGGATCAAACCACATTCCTAACACCTGGGACCCTACATTGAACTCACAGCCATGAAGGACAGCACTTCTTGTTCAAAAGCAGGAATTTTTTTTCCCCATAGTGGATGGCTGGATGTGCTGCCCAAAGGGCTGGAGAAGGTTTCAAGGAAGCTGCTATTTCCTGTCCCCTGACACGATGTCATGGGATGAGAGTGCACGGAACTGCACTGGGATGGGCTCCCAGCTGGTGGTGATCACCAGCCAGGCAGAGCAGGTGAGTGCACAGGGCCCCAGAGAGAGGGACCCAGCAGGCAGAGCCACAGTGCAGGGCCCTGGAAGGGACTCAGAGCCCCTCCTTGTCCTGCAGGGGAGGGGCAAGGACCTGTCTGCACCTCTGCAGCACCAGCCCCCTCTGCAGCACCAGCCCCACATCATGGGGATTCCTGATGCCTCTCTCTGCTACGTCATGCCACTCATGGACATTGTGCTTTTTTTTCCAGGAATTTCTCTTCAACTTGACAAAAGAAAAAGCTACTAGCCTCTATGAAACAAAATACTACATAGGCTTAGCTTCTTACAAAAATGGGAAGTGGCAGTGGGTGGATCAGACTCCATATGAGAGTACAGCGACGTGAGTATCCTGGTGGAGTGAGGAGAGCCCTAATATTCATGCCCTCAGTCCAAGTGACCAATATATTGTGTAAGGCAGGTATTTGTCAGGGTGGGATTTCTGTCTTCAGCTGCTCTGCAAGTCAGAAAACTTGCATAAATTTCTATTCCAAATTATGGATCCTGATTTCTGTCACAGTGACTTTCCTTTCTCTTCCACAAGTGTTTGAGGTGACTCCACATCCACTGTCATGCTAGTGCATTTCCAATAAAGGAACTTTCTTTTACAGGTTCTGGAAGCCTGGGGAGCCCAATTTACTCTTTGCAGAAAAATGTGCTGCAATTCATGTCAAGGGAAAGACAGACCCCAACACTTACAGTAACTGGAATAATGTCCTTTGCATCACAAGTTGCTATCGAATTTGTGAACAGGCAGTCAAACTTCTCTGAGAAAGGACATAAAATCCAATCTCCAAAGTACCTCAGTTCCCAGCCTGTGCCCCTTCATCCCTCTACAAGCTGGAGATCAGTTCTGGATGAAATAGCTCAGGCTGATATCAAGGACCTACTGTGAACCTTTCTACTCTCCTCCTTCAGAAACAAGGGTCCTAATTCTCTATCACTTTCCTTGACTCCTGGTCCAGACAATATCTCAATGATGTGGAAAAGGCCATCACTGTTTCATGACAGGATACTTGTCCTTCAAATCACTGGAGCAGAATTTGAAAGAAGAGCATTCAGTGGAGTATCCTTGTCCCTCCTCTGATGGGGAAAATTTTTCATGGCTGTAGTGTTTCCTTCCCTGTCAGCACATTGTGTGTTGATTAGTTTAAAAAAAATTAATAAATGTTAATTTATTAAATGTTAATTCTGCTCTTTGCATGAGGATGTGTGACATGATTCCCACAGTCCAGCCTCCCAACACAGAGGTTTTAACTTTTCAGTGTGTTCAGCACCTGTAGATGAGAATATTGCTGAGTGTGCTGGACTGGCTGGGAGCAGGAACAATGTAATGTTCATCTGTAGAGCATGTGAGGAAGGTCCTGAGCACTTTGGAGAATCATTTGTGAAGACAGAAACAGAGCAGGCTGTGTATTATTCAGTGTCAGGCAGTTTGCCCAGGATGTAGCAGAAACAACGAAGGATGTAGGAGATTCTGCCGAGATGTGGCAGGACAAGGCGTAGCAATAAAGGGGAGAGAAAGCAATTAAATGTTACAAGAAGGAAAAAAGCCAGAGTCCCCTAAGGAGAAATTTCTAATCAGAGAGAAGGGTGGAAGACCTCTATCAGAGGCATCACTGCAAATCAGATACATAGAAGTCTTGAGCAATGTTCTGCTTCCCTAAAATTTCCCAAACTCCAGTCTGTATGTTCCTCCCTTTCATCAATGATATCTATATTCTTTGAGAAGCTGGGAGTTTCTAGTTTGGGATTAAAAATACAACCTGAAAAATCAGTTCTGGGTGATTTTTTTTCCCCATCAGAAATGTGAGCACAAATTTTTGTCATTTCTGCCTGAAGAAGTGTATTTTCCAGGTTTCTGGTTTAGCCACTGGACCAAAAGCTTGGCTGTTGCAAAGTGTTTGCCTCCTAGTTTCTAAAGTTGCTGGATACTTTCACAATGGAGAAAACTTTTTTTTTTGTCCAACATGACCACAAACCCAAACACTGCAATGGACTTCTCGATTTCCCCCAGCTCAGTTCTGCAACTTATGCAGCAACAGGGTTTTGAGGAAGAAAAAGAGGCAGATGAGACACGCAGAGCGTGACCAATGTTTTACAAGCGGTTTTAGGGGCGCTGCAGTTCTGGTTCCTGGGAGGTTGATGGGGCAGAGCAAAACCCACACCAGGAGATCAGTTTGCAAGAAAATGCACGTACCTTGCTAGAAACAGTCTCCCTGCCCCAAATTTGGAAAACAAAGTTTTTCTTAAGATGTCATGACAAAAGAGGGATCTTGGGAGAGAGATGATGCTGGGTTTACATACAGAATTGTTGAAGGGATCTTCCCGATCCCCTCGTCAATATGGATTTGGCTGATGGAGGTGCCTATCTCCAACAGATAAAAATCAGTCTTTACCCCTCAAGTCTGTCTTGATTCAGGAGGCAGCAGATGGCACAGGAAGAGGTAGAGATGACAACAGATAGTTAGGTACAGCACTTTCAGAAAGCTTCAGAAGGACATTCCTGCATACTGAACCCAGGGCTTGGGTGGGAAAGACAAAAAGTTTATCAGGATAGCATTCTTCATGATGACACCTGCAGACCTTGCTTTCACGTGGACATCTTGGCCACATCCCAGCTGCCTCTCAGAACAAGACCTGGATGCTTACCACTCCTTGGCACATTAACTTTTACTTTGGAAAGGAGCTTGGGTCTGAGGAAAGGAGCCACAGTGACATTCACTTCTGAGAATACACACACCATCGAGTGCAGGTACTCTGACTGCTGCAGCGAAATTCTCTTGTGATTCAAACCTGAGCTAGCTTCTGGTTTCCCTCCAGAAAGCTCATCAAGCCCAGTCTTTGAGATGCTGTCTTCAGCTGGAAAAACATAATTAGAGCCATGTTAGAAGTACATCCAGTGTTGATTCTTATGGTCAGACTTATTAATTACATCTGTACACTGAGCATGCTTTATGTTTAGCTCTGACAGCTAAGGATAGGATACACCTGACTTTAATAAATCATTATCCTTGCCAAGCCAAGTGATGAAATAAAGTGAAATATATGTGTTTTTCTTGGCAGACACTATCTTTTATAAGGATTTAAATTTTCCTTCAAGGGTGTCTGTTCTTTTTTTAGACAAAGCAGAGAATTACACCTCTACTCCTTCTCTTTTTCCGTTTTATCCTACCTCAGATGATTTCATGTTCCCTTACATTTATTTCTCCACTTCTTTATTTTCTTTGCACTCCTGCTGTCTCTCATTTTTCCCCTTTTATTCCTTTTTTTTTTCCTTTTAAATATTGTTTATTGTTTCCTTTTACCTTTTCTTGCTAAGACTGCAGATGAAGAGCATACATTGTTGTTTGGGAGAAATAAAATAGAGAAATGGCATTTAAAGAAGCTCTGGTACTGGACACATGTCTGTTCTGTCCTTTAAAATTTACTGTTTCTGAAATTATTTCCTAAGCAGTCTTGTGTAAAGTATTAGTGCTAATTCAGGTACTGCTGGCCTTGCCGAGTTCATGTTATCCAAGAGATCCACAACCCCCAGTTCTTCACTTGTGCAGTTCATGGTGGTTATCCTTTGTTTATCTCAAGTTGTCTAAGACAAATCCTATTATTTTAGCCTTTATGTCTCTACCTGGTCACAAGGGAATAAAACCACTTTTTTATTTTATATGGAATCAGTTTATACACCTGAGCAAGCATTTTCACATCCTGCTGCTTATTTATAAATCATTTATCTTGGCAGGCTTTTGGACAATCTGCTGGTTTCCTGGAAATGCCTCAGCTGATCATGAGGTCCAACACTCCAGCACCATCTCCTGCTCACAGGAAATCACCTGCATTCTCTTGGTGTCGCTGTGATCTACCTTCATGAGATCAGGAGGAGATGAACAGTGCCTCTGACTCTGTCACTGCAGCCTCTTGTGATGCATCAATGCCTCTACAGCAAGGTAAGAATTCTGTAACATTCACTAGAAAGAGAAAACATAGCTGTAAGACAAGGAATTGCTTCGCTCAGGATCTCAAAATGCACCAAAAAATTGGCTTGTGCTATAGTCCATGTTTTAACATAGGGGAAACTCAATGTAGCATTTAAGAACAGGACATGGATCCGGTTGTTTAGACTGGAGATCAAAACAGAACACTGTAAACACACTCCAGTGGTGTGTTCCTCCCATGACATTCAATCCTGCTAGGTGAGGCACCTGCTGTCTTAGATTCTCACGCAGACTGAGTTGCCACAATTTTACATGCATTAGATGTCTGCAAATTTACTCTAGCTAAGGATCAAGGAGGTAACTTCACTGCCTGAACACTCTTTTGCTTCTGACATGAGCTAAAGCAGCTGTTTCTCACTACATAGTAGCCAACTCTGAAAGCAGAGCATGAAGGCAACCTCTTTCAGAACAATTAAATAAACATCAGGGCCTCTCCTGTGAGGTTCATAAAGGTTTTCTTCTAAAAGATCATCCTCATTTTTCATGGCTATAGCCATGATTTCACCTGAGTTCTCCCATTTATTTCCAGCTTTATCATCTCCTAGCATGCCTCTGCTTTTAAAGTGACATTTTCCCCCATTCCAACTCTTCCTGTAATGATTATAATTAACAAACTTTGTATACCTGAAATAAGAATAAGTCTGGAACAGAGAACATTTTGGGTATAAGGAAACAGAGAAAGTAAAAAATAGAAAGGTGTTGATTGGTTTCATTGGTAATAAGAGAGCCAATGCTTCCCCTTCTGTGGTTAAAATTACTTCTGTTGGGGAAGGAAGTAGTGGGACCCACACAGAAAAAGGCAGATTTGGGAGGAAGCCAAGAACAAACTCTTCTATCACATATACAATGCAGAGACACTTCTCAGATTCATTAGAGCACCACCCCATTCAGACACCCGTTAAAACTACTGCAGAGCACTGGCTTTAGAACAGAGAGTCACATTTTCATGAGTCAAAACCTGCTTAGCAGATATATTGCTTCATGGGATCATCTGACCAGATGGGGAAAGAAACAGCCAGCTGCTGGGAAGGGCTCACCCAGACTGGATATCCCCAGGCCTTAAAGAAACGAGTCAAAGTCCTCCTGACCAGACATGAAAAGGTTCCTGCCTGCAGATTCATTTTTGAGTCATCACCATCTGGGAGCTCAGTCATATTTTGGTGTTCAGAAAATATCTTGGTGAAGGCTTCCCATCCAAAGGCCTCTTGCAACTCTGAATCACAAGTGACATAGTAAAAAATACATGCATGGGAGTTCAGAATTATTCTTCCTGCATTCTTAACAAAATCTTGTATTACATTCAGTTATTGGTCTTTTCACAGGACATTTTAAAATTTTAAATGCCTACTGAAGAACCAAAGCAGCCCTTAAACAACATGAGATTATTCAACAAACTCATCTGTCTACTATTCACACAAAACCAAAAATCAAGTACTTATGTAAGTGCTCTTCATCCTGAAGGGCAGGACTGTGCTCACAGGCTTGATCCCTACTTTGTTTTTCCCAACTGTTACAAGTGTTCAAAACAAGACTGATAAACAATATCAACCCACCTCTCCATGCTTATAAGTATGCATATTTTAAATGCCTCTTCATACTTACAATACATAAGACTCTTCCAGAGCACAAAATGCAGGCTCCCTGCCTAGAGACTCTGCATAGGTGATGTTTGTACTGTCAACTAATCTTAGTTGCTACTGAGTATTGCATCACAACACTGAAAGACCAGCTGAGTTGTAGTATTAGGGAAAAAAGAAAAAGAGAAAGAAAAATAACAAT